TGTTCAAAACGGGGTTCGGATCTGAGAATGTCCTTCATAAAACTAGGGTTCTCAAGAGTTTTCCCTTGAGTGCAGGAGTCGTTCAGAAAACAGCTCTCTTCCACCACAGGGTGTAACGAGAGAGCTCGTCTGAGTCATCTTGGCCTGCTGTGGGAAAACTTTTCCCTGAGGGTTTAACCCCCGCACCCCACCCCAAGCCAAAGAACTAACCCCCAGAATGGTTCCGAGTTCCTGATATCCCTGTGGCATCAGACCAGACTAAACCAAAACCTGCTCCTCGGCTGCGATGCCTTCAACCCAGGCTGCACAGGGTCCCCGCACGGAAGGGGAGGTAACGTCCGACATTACAAAGCGCCTGAGGAAACATCTCACCCCGAATGAGTCAGAACTGGACCCTAACACGTTGGATATTAGGATGATCTAATAAAATAAAATAAATAATAAATAAAATCACATAATCTATCTCTATCTACCCATCCATCCATCCTCCAATCTACCTATCATATACATACTATGTACTAACCATGCAATCCTTGCTTAACGATATCTCCAAGTAGCTCCAGTTCTAAGATGGTCCCATTATTCTGCCTCCATTTATTCAACTGGGAAAGGAGAATATTGGACGAAATAGTGTCTAGATTTCTTTCCAGTTCTAAATGTCTATACTTCCAATGTAGTACATAATTACTTTGTTACCTTTAGTGAAAGGTGTTTTGTCTAGCCAGAGGAATTGTATTGAAATTCTACCTATTGTGTGGAAAATGGTACAAAGTATTACACTGTGTTTACTCACATTCTTTTCCACTGCCTTAATATCAGTTTATTGAGTTATTTTACACAGCCATATACATATGCACCTTTTCATGAGAAAAACCTCAGAACATTTGATAAAGTAAATCTTGCTTTTAAATTTTTGAAAACTTACATTTCCAGAGTTGTTAGTAGTCGTGCTGGAGAATGAGTATTTTTTATGTTTGTCTACTATATTTCAGGATCATACAACCTTCCTAGAGGCAAAGCAACCGTATGAAAACAGAATAAACTTGTGGTTAGGTAGTTGTTTTGTAAAAATAATCTCATAAGGATTTATTTCAAATAACAAGGTCTTCATAGTGGTTCTGTCATGTGACCTGGATGAAATATTCACTATATATACACGGATATGTGTGTGTGTTTGTATACGTTTGTGTATGTATATGTACAGACACATACATCCACATACACACACATATGACCACTACCTAGACCCGTTCCTTTCAGCTTTTAAAAACAACCACAACAGCCCAAGGACACCACTGACAGCCACATCAACGCTCTCAGACTATGTTTTCCACTAAAACCAGAAAACTACAAATTCCAAAACAAATTAAGGAACAGCTTTCCTTCTGTAATAGTAATAATGATTAACTCCCCTCCCTGACAGTGCTTTTAATACTATACATTTGGAAGGACTCTTTAAGATCTTATCGTTTCTTTAAGAAGCAAAGAAGAATAGATATCAGCGATTTGAGGTTACTGGCATCTAGAGTGTAAAGGGCAAGATACTGCTGAATATCATACGATGTACGGGGTAGGACGACCCCACAGCAAAGAATTCCTGGGACCCAACCCTCAAAAGTGCCCTGCTGTAAAACGTTTTGCAAAATTATTTTCTCCTGGGCTCGTAAAGGTGAGTGAGACTATTAGATTTACTCATCAAATGTTCAGTACCACTAACGTGCAGTGACCGAAGTGACAGCTTTACAGTTTGTGGCGTTAATAAATCCTTCATCCTACACGATAACGTCAGACTTTGAAAAATGGACTGCTAATGGTTGAAATAATAAAAATAAAATTTGAGTAAAAAAGTCTATCTGAATATAACATTTCAGGCACACATGTGCAACATAGAGAGAGGCTGTAAGTTTAGTAAAATGATAATGATCCTTTTAACGTTTGTGTTCAGAATTCACCTTGACCATCTCTCTTACGTGCGAAGAGTCCTAATAAGTACACGCAATGAAATCAGATTCAGGGGATGATAAGTATATATCTTTGCCTTCGACTGTCTTGCACTACTGATGAGTTCATTTATTAAAACATCCTTAAAGTGCTCTTTTCATATTCATTACTGACTTTTGTTAAATATTTTATACACCACGGTCAACAACACTAAATGGTTGAAGTTGTAACATATAAAACACTCAAAGAGTTTCACTTACTGAGATATTAACGTGCATTAACCAGGACTCACTCCATTCGGCCCTGAAATATTTATTAATACATTAGTGAATTATTTATTCCCTTGTTTTATTCATCGCTTAACATCTCAGCACTTTTGCGCTTTAATTTCTTTAGGAAAAATAATTTCAAAATGGGTCTTGCCGGGTTTACAGAGCTTCACGTCATACCTTACAAAAACTTTCGTTCTCCAAAAGGGTGTAATTTCTTAGGAAATCTGATTTAGCCAGAGTAGTTGAGCTTCACCAAGCCTGCATACAGGAGAGTGCCACGCACACAGAGCGTGCACAATGAGTGTGAGGAGAAGTGGTGACGGGGAAAGCAGGGAGGAGGAAAAGAACAGACCGACGAAAATAGAGTACGAACAGATGCCGAAAGATTAACGCTGTACGGCTCAATTAATAAAATGTAAGATGAGATCACACGTTTAAAAAAATTAAATGGGAGTGTCTCATTTTCCCACATAAAATCTATATTGACTTCGAGTCATCATTAATGACAGCAATTTTAAAAATTGGCCGTTACGGTTTTTTAATGCTAATAAATCAAGCACTGCTCGTGAGAAAAAAATAAATTTTAAAAAGTAAAAATAAAAATGGACAGGTTTTATACATACCGCACAGTCTATTTTCTGATTAAGTGAAGGCTGGCAAATCATTTCCTATCTCAAAGGTGAAGGCATTTGCTGTGTGAGACTCTTAAAGTTACGTAGAGCATAAACTGAATAATAAACATGTATTGTTTTTCCTCCTTTTCTATAGAAATCATCACTCTTTAAGCATTTGGCGATAACAGAAAAACTGTTTCATAGCCATATGAAAAAATCGCTAGATGCAAAGGAAATCACTAGACAATTTAAAAGTCATAGAGTTGATTTTGCAGATTTTGCAACGTTTTATTGTCCTTCTTATAAATGATTATCCAACGTTTTATGTTTTTCAAGCACAACGTTTATTCAGAATAAGTGGCTTTCAAAATGGATTCAACGTTTCAGTTTGCTTTGACTGTTGATTTTTTAAAAAGCAGTTTTTATTGCCTCCTTCCCTTGTTTGCCATCTTACATTATCGCTCACTTGCTTGAATCTTTGTGTTGCTGAGGCCTTAAGACACCATAAATTATCTGTTGACCATTTGTATTTTGAGTTTAGTGAGTGTGTAGTTATATAATCCTTGATCTTAAGTGTCACAATTAAATTTTGTCCTTTAAATAGCCTGTAGATATAGCACTAAAATGGTTGTTTTCCCGGTAGATATAAATGACCTAATTGGCAAATATAAGTTCTGTGCTTCTGTTTTTGTTTTAGCAACAAAGAATTTACCATGACTCTCACAGAAAATTTTGAATTTTTTTAAAAAAATTTTCTGTAAACTTTTAAGTTCAGAAAATCCTCAGGGGAAGAGAGAGGGCCTGACTATTAAATAAGTCATTAGTAATAAACACCACGGTAATTTTATGTGAATCGACTAGCAGGTCAGAGTAAGGTATAGATTGAGGTGCTACCTATCAATAAACTAATTCATTTAAATACTTGTGAAAATGTCACAGACAAGTGCGGTCTATCTGCATTTTTTTTAAACAAAAAATATGCACATTGTTTCAAGAGTTTTGAAACAAAGACAACCCAAAATCATATCGATACTTAGGTAGGAACGTAATAAAATAATTCCAACGGGATCTTTTTTGCACTGGTTCAGTACAGAATCCCCCGAACTGCCTATTTCCACAATTGATGGAGTCTACTGAGAACATTTCTCATTGTCAAGTATTCTAACTATAAAAAGTATTTTAGAGTTTACTGTCATATGTCATTGATTCTAAAATATATTTTCCCACATTTTAATGCCTCTGAAATAGAGATACATTTTACAAAAAAAAAAAAAAAAAAGCTATATTATAGTTTACCTGATAATGCGATGTTTCTTATTTCTTTGCGGTACATAAAATAACTGCATTTTTTAAGCAATGGCATTTTAGATTCAATAAATACAGTATATGCCACATTGAATCTGTGCTAAATGGTTTACACCCATCATGTAAGGATAATATACTCGTGTTATAGGTGATGAAACTGAGTTTGGAGAGATTAGAGTTACTTGGCCAATGGTACCATTAAAAAAGAATAATGCTAGAATGCAAGCTTACATGCTCTGACTTTAGAGCAAGCCCTCCTCTAGCCAGACCACATCATCTGACGAACATTTGCGTAAGGCTTAGCAAGAGGACCAGGAATTAAGATATGTGGAGAACAGTATCCATTTCATATAAAAATAAATATCAAGTGCTCATGAAAGCCGATGTGGGAATTTTTAAAAAGCTATATAATAAGGAAACACAATATGTTAAAAATCTATTTGTTTAAAATTACCTTGATCCCAGTCACTGGTGGGCTAATAAATATTTTTAAATTGGTTTTGGGACGAGTAAATGCTAATTTGTAGTGTTTGCTGATTTCTATGGTATGAATTAAATATTCTCCCTGGGGCAGATTTCAAGAGACCAAGGTGAAAGCAACTGGCTTAAAATTTCTTGAAAAGTTAACTGCCAGCTCTGGCAAGCTGGTAACAAGCAGCTCGGGCACACCACTGCCAATAAGTGTTAACTAATGATGAAGAAAACATTTTATCTCATGGTCATATCTTATAAAATCTTATTTGCAATTAATTCAAATTGACTTGAAAAAGAGAATTAAAACTTGATAAAATTGTCCTAAAGCAGCTATAACAATATGGCAACCCGTTTGGGGGCGGGCACAGGGGGAATAATAAATCTGATTAGCATATTGGTCTGTAAGCATTTATTGAACTTCTAGGGTGAACAAAACACTTTTTAATCATAGTTTCTACATAAACAGAGTGAATGCGGTAGTTAGATTTTTAAGAATTTTCTAAGGCAAGAGGAAGCTCATTAAAGAAATTTAGAGATTATTTTATATTTGGAAGTGTTGCAGATAATAGCAAAGACTGGATGAAAAAAGCCAACATTTAAAAAGCTTAAAAGAGAACGAACCATGAGGGAAAAATAAGTTTCCATTTCATAAAATGGGAACCATTAAATTTAGCAAAAATAATCTCACACGCTAAAATTGAAAAAATAAAAATTCAAAGATATCTGTGCTATGCAAGCTGAAAGTTGAAAATGCATTTACAAAATGATGGGCAAAAATGCCAGGGCATCTGATAGAAGACTACTTAGCCGGGACAGACATCAAATTCCACAGTCTCCAAGGAACTTGGACTTCCGTTGTTCTAGAGTTTTCTCACTGAAATATTGTTTGAAATTTGTAGGGTGTTGGTGCTTTTGTAAATCAAAAAATGATCCTGTTTGGAAAATGGTGTTTATTTTAACTGAAATATTAAACCGAGTACATTTTGTATCTTGGCACATTTTTGGGGGGGAACACTCATCCACATTAAGAAGTACAGTTGACCCTTAACATGGGTTTGAACCGTGTGAGTCCACTTATACGTGAATTTCTTTTTAAAACAAATATGTACGCTACTATAAATGTATGTTCTCTTGTGATTTTCTTAATATTTTCTTTTTTCTGGCTTACTTTATTGTAAGAATACAGTATATATACATGTAACATGCAAAATGTGTGTTAATCTACTGTTAATACAGAAGGCTACTAGTAAGTACGTTTTTGGAGAGTCAAAAGTTACACGTGGATTTTTAACTGTGTGGGGGTCGGCACCCTAATCCCCACACTGTTCAAGGGGCGACTGTATATTCACTTCACTTCCAGTCTATGAACCTGAGTCTCTTGGGCTCTGATTCTGCACATGGACCTTCCTAGACAGAATTCCTTGCCCTGCGATCTGAGGCCTTCCAGCAAACTCCTTGATGCCGTCGAAACAGCTCTTAATTAAACAGAAGTCGATATGAAAGGAAGCATGAGAAGTTTAGAAGGGCTTCGCCTCGTCCTTCACCTTGCCTCCCCACGGCCTCGCCTCTTGTGTGGTGAGACTCAGAATGTCCTTTTCTTCCTAGTTAATCTGGACCCATCCCGTACGCACAGTTCAGGTCCCGTCTTCTTGACGTCGGCTTTTTCCGACGACTGGTCACGGTCATCTCTCCAGACCTCCACATGTGTGCCTGGCCCCCTCTCCTTTGGTGTTTAATCAGATGGGACCTGTTTTAATTTATCTATTTTGGCAGCTCTGTCTTTTCTGTCCAGTGGCCCTGAGGGCAGGTGGGATCTGCATTTCATGTCATTTACATACGGCCTTTTCTTCTTTCCTTCCACAAACATTTATTCGTCGGCTGGCCTCTTTGTCAAGGACTTTGCTGGGCACTGGAGAAAGAAACAAACTCCAATAAGCCCTAGTCCTTTGAGCTCCTTTGTGATTTCACCCCTCCTTTCCTCTCCGGCCTCATCCTCACACACTTTTTTGGGGGGGCTCCAACCAGGCTGAAGGACATTCGACTCTCTACACACACGATGTCCTCTCATCTCCGGGTTTTGAGCCGTTTCCACTGTGTCTGAGAATGTTTCGCCCTCCCTGTTCCCATTCTACGCTCCATCTGGGGCATATCTAACTAACACCTACTCTATCCTTCTGATCTCGGCTTAGACGATATTCGCTCCAGGAAGTTCCCCCTGATGCCCAAAGCAAGGTGCCTTTATTACATACTCCCTCGTACCGTCTTCAACATTGCACTTTCAAAATGGAGTTATAATTGCCTATTTATCCGGGTGTGTCATTGGAGTCTATTATCTATTAGCACAGATATATTTCTTTTGTATCTTGGGTATGAGTCATGGATATGTTTAGCTCCTGTACCTAGCAGGTTTAAAAAAAAAAAAAATGTATTAAGTGAACGAATGGATGAATGAACAAATGAATGTCACAAAGATAAACAGGTCACGATCCCTGCCCTTGAGGACATCACCATCTAGTGGGGGAGATAGAAATGCACACATAAGCCATACTACAAGGTGCTGAGTTTTAGAATAGAGACATAGAAAAAAGCTGTCGTGTGTGGTCCAAAGTGACTAATTTTGCCTGTGGAAGTCAGGTCCTGCACCGAGGAGGTGATCTTTGAGCTGAGTTTTGAAGGATTTCAAAGGCCTCTGGGTAGAGCAGAGGCATATAGCGCATGCTGAGTAATTAACTACTTTAGAATATTCTTCATCTTTCTGTTCATAAGTAATTTACTAACAGAATAATAATACCATTAACAGAAAGAAAAGCGTCTGGAATAAGAGTGACTTTAAAGAAGGCACTGGAAGAGGGGAGAAGCAGCTAGTAAAATATCCAGAAATTAAGTGATCAAAGGGGAAGAGGCCAGGAAGAAAGAGGCAACTTCTTTGAAGCTAAAGTTTGAGAAAGCTTTTAAAAAAAATGGTGGTTCCCGAGTATGGAAGTCACAGTGAATTCAAGGAAGATGTTGGTCCCCCAGCGATCCTAGCTCACAAATCCCAAGGCAATGGCTTTTTGGATGTGGGGACTCAGGTTTAAATGCAACTCCTTCAAACAGTTTCCCCTTCCCTGAACCTGACCTTGAGTTTTCCTTATGAAAATTGTTGATTAGAAGTTATCACTCAGCTATGAGAAAGCACTGGGGACATTCTCTTTTAACGCTTTAAGGACCAACTTCAGTTGTGCCAAAAACAAAACAAGAAATATTTGGTCATCTGGGGCATATTTTTACGTCCATATGAAACCATGAATATTTAGAACAATTAAAAATGTCCAGGTAATTGGTCTAACCTCTTCTGAACTATGCTAGAGAAAAAAAAAAATGTCAGAGAAATAAAAATGGTTTTCTTAAACAAGACACGGAAGAGATCAAGCTTTTTTTCCATAAAAAAGGTCATCTTCATTCCTTCTATCACATTTTGTCAGGATTAAGTTCAGCTCGAACGACAAAAAACAACAAAATAACAGTAGCTGAAACAAGCAAAGATCGATTTTCTCGGCTAAGAGACGCCCAGGTATGGTCTTGCAAGGTCCACGTGACGGCGCCACGAAGCAGAGGCCCAAGCCTCCACCTTCACACTCTGCCATAGTTCAAGTCACTTCCTTGTCTAAAATGGAGCTATAGCCCTAATGTCAAATTTTGTGAAGGAGACAGAAAAGGGAAAGGAATGACCAGCAGGATTTTCCTCCTCCAACTTAGCTTCCTGGGAACCACTCTCAACTTCTCCAGCAATTTGTGCTCTTTCTTTCACACTCTGCTGCAGCCTCTACATTTTCTGCAATCTGCTTTCTTATGCCTGCGTGACAGTCACTGTCTAACACAGTCCTCCCACACTCCACAGAAACCATGGCAGCGGAAGCCCTGCAGATTTACGACTCCCTGGGGGAAGAGTTCAGTTCATGAATGTGCTGTAACTTCTGTGAAGGGTATCTAAAGTCCTTAAGAACATTCATGAATGAGCCTTTTCAACACCACTTGGGAGGAAGCCGGGAACGTCACCGCTGAAACTGAGCAGTAATGAAACCCAGTGGCCACCACACGAGAGATAGGTGAATGCCTCAGTGCAGAACGAAGGCCAGCAGTCAGCCCAGGGCAGTTACTTCCACTAAAAGCATTTACCTGAACAGGAACTTGAATGGTTTTCAAGGAAAGACACTTTAATCTTCCAAGAAAGTGTCATGTGTTTCTCATTCATTCTGTAAAGCTACCACTAAAAGCATTTACCTGAACAGGAACTTGAATGTTTTCAAGGAAAGACACTTTAATCTTCCCAGAAAGTGTCATGTGTTTCTCATTCATTCTATAAAGCTAGAATCTAAATTTAAAGATTGTTTTAGTTTGGTATTGCGGCCATATTTTGGGGTTTAATCATTAGGACTGGATGATCTGAAGATGTGCTGCATTTTTTTCAGATGGAAAATGGGAGGAGGACCGAAAACTTGCCTCTTCTGCAAGCTTCGGTTATAGAATTACAGGTCCCTGATGTGGAAGGAACCTTACAGCACATCTAATCCAACCATGTATGTTATAGGTGAAGAACTGATCCCTGCAACCTGATTACATAGAAATTATCTATTCTATTTTGTGAAGTTCATTCTACTCTAGAAAGAGGAATGAATGGAGCAGGAACCTGGGCACTGAATTCTGCTTGTTATACCATTAAGACTGAGTGTGCACACAGCCCAGATAGAGCCGAATGCTCCGGACTTCATCTATTTGCTTTCAATTTATTTCTATCCCATTTTCTGGCATACAAAGTGCACGACACCACTTTAATTTCCTTTTGGGACGTACGTGAGTGTCTATGGTACTTTGTGCTACCATTAAAATAATTCCTTTTATCGTTTTTACTTTTTAGAAAAACAATTTAAATGACTTCAAGAGTCTCCTCAGACACTTAGATAAATTTCATTAAAAAATTGACGTAAGACACGCTTTCTAGATGACGTTGTGACTATCCAACTGGACGATGCATAGGAAAGTACTTTAAAAATATGAAGTACTTTATAAAAGAAATGGCTTATTCTACACATTCCATTCCATTTATTACTAAAGCAAATATTTATTCAGCGCTATGTGCCAGGTCCTATGCTAGGAACCGCGGATGTAAACCGCGGGTGTTAAATGAGAGCCCAACTTCCAAGAGTTTACAGCGAAGTCTGTACCTGACCGTCCGTCCCCAAGCCAATGAAACAAAAACAAACAAACAAAAAACTGGGTAAGGCACCCCACTGTGTTGTCATAGCACTTTGTACTTCTTTCCTTCCTTAGCGTTATCCCAATTTCAGGTAAATAGTTGAATAATTAATTGCCCCCTACCTGTGCCAGAAGCTTAATTTAACCTCTTTCATCCTCTTTCTGCTCCACGCCTCGCGCGTCTGGAATAGAAAAGTCTAGCAACGAATGGATTGATGGATGGATGGATGGATGGTAGATGGATGGATGGATGGATGGATGGACGGACGGACGGACCGATGGTGAATGGATGGACGGATGCATGCATGTGAATGAATGAATGAAAAATGATACGGATGCCCACAGCCCGGGTCTCTACCCCAAGACGACACGACACGAACAACTAGGCGTGCACAGCACGGCGGGAAGCACGGAGGTGTCTGGAGCCAGCCTCGGCCGGCTGACTTCCGGAAGAGAAATTAATCTCAGACTCGGACACTCGCAGGGCGCCGTCTCGCAGTCGCCTGCCACTGGGGTGGCGGGGACCGTTCCGTGCGGACTATCAGGCTCGTGCCAACGGCTGGACGTCACCAAGACCGCTTAAATGACTTGGAGGTCGGCGCGGACAACATCCC